AAAAATACAAAAATATTGCAATTATTCAACAAATTTTTGATTTAATTCGGTTTCATCAATTAATACTTCATATACATCTGCTATACTTGAATGAATACCTCTAATAATCCATCAATTACTTGATCGGATTGAAAAAAAAACCCTTTTTTGATATTTTAGGTGTCAAGTATAATGAAGGTAGCCTGAAGTCTGTGTTGAAAAGATTGTTATGAGTTAGATCTATCAATCTATCTAAAATAAAGGTGGTTATTAATGAAAAACAATCCGAAGGCTTCACATCGATTAGATGTTTTCTTTGAAGAAAAAACATGAGATTCTTACATTTGATTAAAATATCATATTTGCCGCTTAAGTAAATGATGGATATTTGCTAGGTTTTGACAGTTGTTGTAACGCATCGTCTATTACATTATTCTATGCTTCTTCTCTTCGATCATAATTTATTCACGTATCGTATGCGTAATTATTTTGTCATGATGCATTCATTATTGAGAAACTATCCACATATTTAGATATAAAAAGCGAAGCATATAAGATTAGCTGCTCAAAAAAAAATTTTAAACTTAAGATTTTTTTTACTCTTATCATGTCATCGTCGAATGTAAGTAATGTTTCTGCAACTGTCAGTGCCATCAATGAAGCAACAATGGTGTATTCCCGATGCTGGCTATTTATGATGGTCGCTCTTGGCATGATTGGTCATTCATTGAGCATTTATGTATTTTCACGTCGTACACTCCGTAAAATTCCATGCGCCAAATATTTTTTAGCATCAACTGTTGTCGGTTGTTGCATCGTCTATGGTAATCTCCCTCTACGTACTCTTCAAATGGGCTATCAAATCGATGTATTTGTATATTCATTGCCAGTTTGTAAACTTTTATCGTTTCTAACGGCTTGTACAAGGTATTCTAGATCATACATAATTGTTTGATTAGAATTCATTTTCATTTTTTTACATTGTAGAGTTCTACCTGCGTGGTTCATAACTCTTGCCTGTGCTGATCGGTGAGTATTCAAAATAATAAGTAGAAAATCATAAATCAGAGTCTATGTTTTAGAACATTCTATTCTTCTTTTAACATCGATTTCCTTTTCTATATAGGTTTTTACAAAGTTCATCTTCTGCTACTCTTCGAGGATGGAGTTCACTTCGTGTTACTCGTCTTGCTATTCCATCCACAACTCTCCTTATCGGTCTTATGCATATTCATATTCTCGTTTACAATACAATAGTTCAATCTCCATTATCATGTGTTGGTCAATCAAGCACATATCAAACATTCTATAGTTTTTTTAATTTGATTATATGGGCTTTAGTTCCATCTAGGGATGCTTATATTTGGTTTGCTTACCATTCATCAGTATCGTCAGGGAAAAAAACGAGTTGCACCTACAAATACTCAAAATGTTCGACAAAAAATTTCAAGATCAACTGATCGACAATTGATTCAAATGATGCTCGTCCAGTCTCTCGTCTTTGGCCTAACTACAAGTGCCGCATCATTTAGTTTCCTTGGTTCTCTATCGGATGTCAATTCCATAACAGATCCTATTGGAGCAGCCAGAAAAAATTTAATTAAAGATGTGCTCTTCCAGTTTGGCTTTTTCGGTCCTTGTACAAGCTTCTATTTATTTACATTGTCGAGTAAACTATTTCGTCGTGAACTTTGGAAGTTGTTTAATCGTCGACGATTTTCTCCAGATGCGACTACTACAAATGCATACACAATGACAGAAAGAAACTGACAGATTTTTTTTATTTTCGAAATATCAATAAAAAATTCTCTACTAGGAGTAGAGACTTAAGTTAACTTCGCCTTTTTTTTTTGGATGATACAATAACAGTGTTTGTTTTATCGCAAGCATTCATTTAAATTGTATTTTTGATTTTGCTTCGCTTATCAATCCAATGTAAAACAGAACTTTATTGTAGGTGATTTCATCTTCTATTCTACTATTGCTATTTCGTTCTTTAGCGCTATTCACGCTAGTTTTTGCTTGATTGGTACGTCTTAGTTCTTCTTTGATTCTATGAAGATTTTTGATCTTGGATACTTTCGAAAACACATCATGAGTTTGTGACGAATTTCAGATCTTTCAAAATAGATTTTTATTCTAATCATGCAGCATCAATCAATCTAGCCGATTCGAAAATATTAACTGGAGTGTTATACGTTATTCATGGCCTCATATACTTACACAAAAGCTCGAGCGGTATCTTTCTTTTCTTATTATTTTTTACCTGCTACTCTCTCTTCCAAATTTATTTCCAATCTTCTTTTGAAACATGGCGAATCGATTTTGGTAAGTATACGACACTGTGGAAAATTAAGTGAGAAATTATAAAAAGCAAAATGCGATATTGAATTTCTTAGCTGTTGTTTAATCTACAATCTAATATCTAATTTTCGTAATATACGTTTATGGACGCTAGGTTTACGAGCATCAGAAAAATATAAGTTTTTTCAACAGTTAGACAGAAACAATCGAGACAACTAGAAAAACGTCTTTCGAGCTTAGATTATATTAATGTAAAGAAGTTTTTATATAATTCAGCTGAAAAGAAACATCGAGAAGTAATGGAAAATTAGAAAGATTAAATAGAGGTCCAATTGGACAAAATTACGAAGAAATGAAATCGAAAGTAATTCATAATATATCATCATATACATTTTCAGAAGTAGAAGAAAGATTTTTACGTCGTGGTTAGGACTTTTTTTTTTATAGAAAACACGATACAAAATTTCTTAAATTTTGAAACAGATTTAGAATTAGATGCGATAAAATCACTAAAATCAAATAAGAATACCATCATATGTAAGGTAGATAAAGGCAGTAGTATAGTAATATTAGATAAAGATACTTATATGAAAAAGGCAGAAGATTTTTTGAAAGGAAAACAATTTCAAGAATTAAATAGTAACAAATTTCATATTGAACGAGACGAAGAACTGAATAAATATATTTTATCATTATATAATAGTAAAGTAATAGACAATAAACTTCGTCACCAATTGAAATCAACATTTTGCCAATAAATTAAAAGAAATTATACTCGATAAAAATAAAACTTATATAAAATGTAGTTTCGATGTAGAAAGTTTATATACGAACATACCAGTTAAAGAAGCAATAGAAATAACATTACATTATATGTATAAACCTAAAAAATGAATAGATGTACCTTTTAATAGAGATCAAATGGTAACACTTTTTGATTTGTCAATTACTCTTTTTCTTTTATTAAGTATTGAATTATTTATTAGGTGACTTTTTCAATTGAATTGAAAGATCTTGAATTAGTCCAAGAGTATTTTGTTTTTGAACCAAATCGTATGCCAATGAGATGGATACATAATAATAATTGGTCAGGAGGTTATCTGAATGAGCAACATATGCCATTCGTACCACTACCACCATCATTGACGACGGGTTCTTCTAATTCAATTGAAGAGAACAAAGTACAATTCCAAGGTCATTCAGAAATCCCTCGTTTGTTAAGTGGAAATGAAAATGAACAAGGGAATGATATCAAAGATACACGTAAGATTAATACTAATTTTCAAGGTTTTAAAATTCTTACTTATCTAAAAAACGAGTAGATAACGAACGGATATTGTAAAATGATCTAAAAGATGCTTTCAATGAAGTATATGCGTATGCAAAGAATACCATCGAAGCATATGATAAATGGGTATAGAACAACTATAATGCTCAGGTGCAGCAACGGTTCTATGATTTAGGTGGACACAAAGACCATTGGGCAAAATTCGTCGATTATATTATTTTTTCTTGATTATGAAAGCAAGATAAATTAAAGTGCAAGAGACACCAGGTGAAAGGATTATTTTATTCAGCGTTGATGGTAACAATGGCATAAGCATCTCAACTTTGAGAACAGCGTTTCCGACAATAGAAGGTCTAAAATATGGATTGGAAAATGGATTTTTTAACGTGTAAGTCGTTCTTAAATGCATTGATAATCTATTGATTTGTTTATTTTAGTATGAAATACAATGAGGACAAAAAAATTTTATCCCGGCAATGATCAATCATGGAATGATAATATTACTTACCTTCCTATTTAAACAAATAGTAAGTTAATGAAAAGCTTTCCTATAAATATATATCTATCAATATCTATTTAGATGGCAACGCTTCGTCGTCTTCGAATTTAACCATGTCAAAAGCAACAGCCACGTAAACGATATAAAAACGATAAATAACAACAAAAAACGAAAGAAAAAGCTACTCTTTCGGGATAACGGACTACGGCATAAAACGCTGAGAATTAATGCAGTAATACACCGTTTTATAATCGTTTCACGCCGTTTAAGACGCCGTTTTCGGTAGTCGGAATGATCGTCCTGGGAATATTATAAGGATTACAACTCTGAGAACTGTTTTTCCGAAGACTGAAGGATTTGGATATAGACTGGAAAATGGGATTATTCAGGCGTAAGTTATTCTTAGATGCATTGATAATTTGTTGTTCTTTTTTTATTTTAGGTTAGAGTTCGATGAAGAAAATCAAAAGTTTTATCCTGGTGATGGTGAATTATGGGAAGATAATATTGTGCCAAGAGACGTGACAGACATCTTTGTGAATGAAGCCCCTTTAGCCATGGATGGCGTATTAGTTCTATACATATAAAGTTCAGAGACCAGAGGGTTCGATTCCTTCCTTTCGTAGTGAGGTGTCGTGGGAATGATGTACGGTATCGAATAGAAGGCGATCAATCAGTTTATTAGATATATATGACGATTACGTTATTGTTTTCTTTCCATTATTTGTGATTTTTGTGTTCTATCTTCTCTTTCTCTATTTGTTATCGTCATTCTATACTTCGATTCTTCGCTAGTATTTTATCTTCTATGAACAAATGTACTGTTAGGACCTCATGGTCAAAGTTTAAAGCATAATATAAATTGAAAAAATAAAAATGACACCTCTTTTGTTTATTATTAGTATTATTTAATAAAACATTACGTTTCGATGTTATTCGAACAATTTATATCATTTCTCCTTCATTAACTTATATACAATGAGAAGATCAGGTATCGATCAAGAACTCTATCAATAAAAATGTTCTTAATTCAGATGTGTTGAGTGTTTAAATGATCTTAGTCCTCCTAGCGATATGTCTATAATCGCTTTTTCTTTTCATATTTATACTAGATATAATCCTAAGAATTAGATGTGCAGAGTCAACTACGAAAAATCAAAATGATATTCCTTCAATAATGACAACAGCACAACAGACAAATTGACGGTGTGGTTCTGAGTATGTGTGTTCATGCTTATCATCGCTCAATTTACACTCTCAAGGCGTGAGTATAATGAAAGTAATGTGATGTATTTAGTTTTCTCTGAAATAATCGATGTTATGGAATGAAACTATCGAAAACATGTAATAATTTTGACTTTCTTGAGATACTTAAAAACATGCAATTTTTTTCATGAAAAGTTTTTAAACAACCATTTGAATGAAATTTTTTGATTTTTAAGATCCCTTAAATTCATTCATAAACTTTTTAGTTTAAACTAATATTTGAACGATAGAAAAATCTTTTATTTAAATTGACTGACGTCTCATATTAAAACGGAAGAATAGTGTATATGCAAAACATCGAATCACAAAGAGAAAAATAGCATGTATCATCCAGTATGTTGAATAATCCAGGTCAAAATATAGTTCCACAAGATCGTTTAAGGTGTTTATTAATATTGCGACAAAAATTGATAAAGCTGCCATGCTGATATTCACTAAAATTGACAAAGGAATTGCATGATTATAACTTTTTCAACTTGAATAAACAAAGGTTATGAAGCATAAAACTTTCTACGTAATATCGCGGGTAGTATTTCTTCCGAAATTGTATCAACTATTTCCAGGGAAAATGAGAGGATGTAGAACGGATATTTACTTGTACCTATTTGTCTCTCTCTTTGAAATCTCTGAAAATTTTGTTGATTCATATTGATCTTCTTTTGTTCAACAAACTGAGCTAAATAGAACGATAGAAACCTAGTCTTTTTCTCATTATAGCAAAGAAAAAAAATAGATATCCAGCCTCAGAACATAAACTATTCTATACTTTATAGAAGAGAAAAAGAAAATCAAAAGGAGAACTTTATTTGTTATTAAAAAAGAAAGAAAATCATATCGATTGAAAGTTAATTTCAATTTTTCTTTGATTTATCAATGCGGAATTAAAAGAAAACTATTAGAACCCAGAGCGAAATACTAAGGTTTTTAATCAACAGTTTATCTAGCTGCACAGAAAATCAATATAAAGAGTCGTTTCTTTATAGCTTTGATAATTTTCTCCCTGAATTTTCCTTCCATATCAGCGAGATCAAACGAAAGCCCTACATGAGAATAATCACAGGAAAAGCTGAGATAAAACAGAGTTCTAACACAAACAAAAACATATAATACTTACGACTGAATGTGTGATATATACTAATAATTGTACGATCTAATCCGTTTTCAGACTTTTATAAGCGTACTCCATCCACCAGTGATATTGTCGTTGATAAATACTTGAGTCTAAAATAAGCTAACTCTCTTAATAAATATATAAGATGTCCTTCATTCCAAGAAAATGGCAAACATCAAATTAATATGAGATGAAATTTTTTTTTTTTTTTCATTAGACTATTCAATCAGACAAACGATTGATGAGAGAATAACTCTAAATATGAGTGTTAGTTTTGAATGAGGGTACAAACCAATTCGTAGAGCTCAACAAACTGATTCAGATGATATGTTTCGTTTTTGCCCATAGAACTTCAAATGAGAATTAGTAAATTTTTCTTTATAGAGGATAACCTTGGAAATATTGACATTGTCAACATAATCTTGTCTCAGAAAAGTAATTTTAAAAACTTCTTGTAGCATTTTCGGGCATTGACTCTCAAATATTACGCTGAAAACTATTTAAAGAAGCGCTACGTCTTAGATTTTCAATGTTATTCTCATATGCAGTACTATTATTTGTATGATATAGTTTGAGAAATGAAAGTTATATAAGACAACGTTTTTCCACATTGCGAAGTTTAAGCTTTGTGACTTCCGTGTTTAGTGTTACAAAGACTTTCAATTTATCATTTTACTCGTTTTATTCAAAAACTCTGTAAAGCTAAAAAAACTCAATTATTGTGCAGGAATGTAGTCTGTGTCATTATGTATGTTAATATGACGATCTGAACTTTAATCAACCTTGGTGTCCTATTTTCCTAACAAATATCATAAAACTCATCTAATACGAGAAATTTACTATTACAGTGGATTGCTTTTTCTCATTTGAAGTCCTATGGGCAAAAACGAAACATATCATCTGAATTAGTTGTTGAGTTCCACAAACTAGTATATATTCCGCTCAAAAATGAAACTCACACTTGGAGACGTTCCCTCGTTAGAAAAAAAATAAACAAACATTTACCTTTATCATTTACAAAAAATTGTTGGAAACCCAGAACGATCATTCCGACCATCGGAACCGGCGTGTTAGACGGCCTGAAACGATTATAAAAAATGTTTTACTGTAATAAGTCTCACACTATGTTTACCGTTTTCTGGGATACCGAATTACGTCGTTTGCGTTCCCCTTGCATTTGATCTGAGTGATCTTGTTTAACACCACACTCGACACGTCTTCCACCTGGTAACTCTTGAATTTTAATCTTTGTTGGACTCATAATCTAGAAAAAAAAATAAAATATAACCAACCAGTTTTACTTTAACAATGTGTGTAGATTTAGTGTTATTATAAAAAAAACAGAATAAAGTTTTTAATAATGAAGTTGAGTCGGTGTTGAAGTAGGTAATTTTCTTATAGTTTTCGATAAGAAACAATTAATCTTTAAAAAAGAGAATCATTTCAAGCACCAAAAACTAAAAAAAAAAGTTAAGTTCTTCTGATTGTTCAAATCAGTAGACTCGACTGTACTGCACTGAAAATAGAAACAACCCAAAAATAAGACAACTAGCCCAAATCGAAACGAAACGAGTGTAGTAAATGTGGATGAAGATGATGAGAGCAGGAATTTTTATTGAATGAGTTGGAATGTTTAATTAATTAAAAATATCTTATATAGATGTCGCTGGTTTACAAGTTGCACTTTCTTGCTATCGATATATGTTCATGTTCTAGTTTCTCTTTTCGAAAGGAAAGAGTGAATTAGTTTTGAAGCGAATTTAGTGTTTTATCTTATTTCTTAAATACTTGCGTGATTTGCACAAATTTTGCAAATACTTGCTTAATGATTATTTCTATACTTCTTGTATTCTTGAATGGATTCGAATACGTTTTTTCATTAGAAAATGCTATTCAAGAATTTACTCTCCATATAATTCCATGGTTCCGAAAACCATTAGAAAGTGAAGACAGTTCATGATTACTATTATTATCGGAGAGTCATCTTGTTCGAGCTGGACAGACAGTGGAAGGATGTATGTCTCTGTAACCACTAAAATCATGCTGCAATCTGGACTCTATAACCACATTATATGGATCTGATGAGACTGACAATTTTCGTGTAGAAAAACGTGTGTGAACAGATATGAATTCAAGAGCTTTTCCTTGCTGTTTGTAGCTATTCAAAGTTGTGATAAATATGACACAGGATGAATACGAATCATGTCAAGTAATACATTTCTTTCTTGTTATACGTGTATTTGATATATAATCTTGAGAGTGGGTGTGGGTTGGCATTAGATTCACTTAACATTCATACCCGCACTCACACCCACACCCATCCACACCCTCAAGAAATGATGGAATTGAATATAATATGATCGATTAATCCTTTGTAATATTTATTGAATGTATCATTCATATGATAACATGGAAGCGTAATTTCAATTGTCCACAAATCATCTTTAAATATATGTTGATGCACATATGACTCACCAATTTTGCTTATGATTGAAAAACAATGTTTCAGCATTGTTTTGATGAGTTATACAGTTAAGTTATTCGTTATTTTATCTTTTTTAAATAATAATATGTCAACGAAAGATGAGAATGGAACAAAACAGAACGAGAAATTAAAAAAAGCAGGTTACAAGATTTATTTTTCTGAATATGGCTGATAATGTTAATTGAAACTCTCTCAGCCATCGTTGAAAAAGTAAGAAACACATTTTATAATATTTATTCTCAGTTATATTCCGGAAAACTATCAAATATCCTACTCATATAAGTTATCTACCAATGGTTGATAGTTTGTATGATTGAAACTGCGTTAATGCGATGTTTGCCAATATCGTAGGTCATGTTGCTCTTCTAAAAACAAAGGTATGTTTTTTTAGTAGATGCAATGAAATAATATTAAGGTGGTTTTCTAGTTATGTTCGAAGCGTAGTACAACAAAAAGAGAATATATTTGATGTAACAGACAGTATCAAAGAAAGTGTTTTTTTTTGTAACATGTACTTATGATTGGTTCTATATTAGAAAGTCATCTTTTTCTGCTTTATTTGAATAATCTCAATTAAACTTAAGTAAGTTTTCTAAGTAAAAAGATTTTAAAAATCTATCTGAGATTCTTAAACAGTCTGTTTTTGAAAATGTTGGCGGATAAAACATTTACCTTTACTAATATTAATTTGCCAGTGATCAGTTCCCGTTAAAAAAGGTGAAGCATTCGGCATTCGTCTGATTTTGTCAATGTGGAGCATAGATAAAAACGAACCACCGCCAAGTTCTCGTAGTCTAACTGTATAACGTTCCGTACCACTATTATCTTCATCACGTCGAACACTCGTCAAATGAAACGTAGCAAGCGGAGCGTATAAAACTTCTTCTTCTTCAGGAAACTGTGACACGATGGATATATCCGCATTTGAATATAACTTTTGTGCTTCTTGGCTTTTGTCTGATAGCGTTTCAATTTCGAATAAGACATTACCACCGACTTGAGCTCGTGCACGATTTTTCGATGTTGCTGTGAAACATACAAAATAGATTTTTTGTCCTTCCAGTGACATGAGCATAGCGATATTCTCATCGGTTGTTGATATTCCTCGATAGAGAGTACCTGCAAAATATGGCAAAGATTTTGCGTAGAACATTTCTAAGTAATCATATATGATAAAACGTAAATAATGAAGATCTTCTACACAACATTCAGCTAATGCAGTATTAACCAAGCGATAAAAATACACTGGCGACTCAAGAGACCATAATCGAACCAAATATTTGATAAATGTCACGGATCGAATGCAATTTCCTGTCGAAAAATATCGACAGATAATTGCAATTTGCTGATCAGTAAGATTATGTCGACGAGCAAACATGACCAAGGTCGCAATCTGGACATCATTTTTTTGCATATTAAGAGGTTTGGCAAAGCGTAGATGATTAAAGACTTTCGGTGTCGCAGTATTGTATCCAGACATGAAGCCTACAAAATCAATATGATGATGATCGTCTTTTGTGAACATAATTTTATTTCGTTCGTTGTCAACTTCAGTTGTAAAAATATTACCAAATCCTCCGATATCGACTAATCGAATAATCATAGCAATATACATACCAAGTGTATCTTTACGAAGACAAAATTCTTTACATAAAAATCGATCTCTCGACATAATTAGACATCGCTCATCGTGATCGCGTTCTTCTAACCAACATTTTCGACCACATGGCAAATACGTAAGATATCGATTGTAACGATCGATTTCTTCAGTTTCATCAGCATCGAAAACGAACACACACATTGTCAAACAACATGTTTTTTGAAGTTGTGCTATTTCTTGCATTTCGAAAAATTCGTCCGCTATACTATTCGCTACAACTACTTGAACATGAATGAATTGATAATCACGTATAAGAAAGAAGACAGCCGAGTCAACATCTTCGAAAGGATGAAAATCAGTATATGGAGAAGTTCTAATTATCTCTTGGATTTCTTGATCAGTATTCAGCGTTTGAAGATTCGGCTCAATCCAAACAACTAATTGACGAGTAACAATGCCAGAATCGACTTCCATATTCTGTTTCCAAGTCATCATAGCTTCCTCTATAAGAAACATAAAATCATAACTTATCCTAAGCTACAAAACTCAAAGCTGCTTTAAGATTGAAACTTCGTGATGACATATTTAGAAATATTCTTTACTTCTGTCTCAAGATCAAATTGTCAATTTAGATACTAATTTCAAACTGAAAAAGCAAGATAAAATCTACCAATTATTGAGGTTTGTTCTTACCATACACATTGATTCCTAACTGATTTGATAATGCAAACATAAAAGTGCGTAATTTCGAAAGAGAATGTATGCTCCGTATTTTTAGTTTCTTGTAGGTAATAAAATAAGGGATATGCTACGACGTTTCAAATAATACTTAAACTGATATTCATCTGTGGTATATAACTAAAAACATCATACCAACGCATGCAGTACGACATGCAGAGCTGCAGATCGCTCTTCATTTTATATTCTGTGGTCATACTATGTAGGTACCTTTTTATGTTACACCCGAAATAGATTTCATTTCATATCTTCTTGTTCTGTACAAGACGTTAATATAACACAGATTAGAATTGAAATGCATTGATATTTTCTGTTTCTCATCCCAGGAAAATTATTTCAAAAATTTTTACTTACCCCATCGACGATTTTCTTCGTCGGCAGTCTCTTGCAGTAACTGCTTTCTTATCAGATGTTCGTATTCCATACTTAGAACAATATCGTTCACTTGTAATGAAGCTTGTGTTGTCAGAGTTTCAACACTCGTTATTAGCTTAAGACCTACACGATGTTTAAGAATATAAGCTTGACATTGATGAATGTATCTCTCTTCCTTAGGCCATTGTTGCCGGTAAACTGAAAGACACATTTCGAACCATGCTGTTGCTTTAGAATATTCACATTTCTTTACATAAAAAAGAGCCAGATTTCGTCCAGCATCAACAAGCATTCTGTTCTCTTGACTGTCGACATCGTCATACGAAATAATTTGCCAGACGTCAGTTAACTTTGTTTCGATTTCGTTGGACGATGGTTTTTGATCAAGCAATTGACTGAGACGATGTAAAAGGGCAATCATCATTGGATGTGTGTTTAGTTGATTATGTTCACTAATAGAATAAGCAAATAAATAACATTTATGCGCCATAGATAGTAAATTTTTATCGCGATACATATCACCAATATCAATTGCGTTGCCACCAATCAAAGCTGCATATTGACATTGATAGCTCTTACGTTTGTATTCTTGACATAGATTGTCAAATGTCGCCTGTGCCAATTCATCATTAATTGCACAAAGACTCACTCGTCCTTGAGCAATATTCAGAAGTTCAAGAGATAGTGATTGAGGTGAATCGCATAAAAACTGTAATGTTTCCTGGCATAGAGCATTGGCTTCGATATTTCTCCCTAGTCGAACCAATATGAGTACGAGATCAGTTCGAATTCGACCGATGACGGAATCTTCCATAGCAATCTGGCTTCTCTTGTACAGATCACATGCAGCTAAAAGAAATTTTTCCGCATCAACAAGTTCATTACAGCGAAGCGAAATTCGACCCAGCTCTGCTAATGTATTAATCTCCATCTCTTTGTCATTCTCATCGTAGTTATTGTAGAAAAGAAAATAATTCATTGCTGAACGCACACAATTCATATGAGCTAGGAGTGAACCAAACAAAATTCTTCGATCGGTACTTTCACCCACTTGTTCTCTCAGTTGAATAGTTTTGTCTATGAGTCGTTTAGCAACATTAGAACTTGGAACTGTTTGCACACGAAAATAATAAATTTGACAAGCAGAATCAAAAACAATATGAATAAGTTGAAAGAGAACGCCAATATTGAAAAGGACACCATCCGCCCCGAGATCCAACACTGGTACATGATTGTCTACATCGATCTCGAAGAGTACTTTATCGAAGTCTTTATTTGGTAGACGTCGAAGATCATCAATAATCTTGTCACAACTCACATGTCCCACGAGAAAATCGACAGGCATTATGAGGCTATCTTGATGATCGAAAAGAAATTTGGTTTTTCTTTTGTTCATTATACTACACGCAAAAATACGACGTGTTCCTATGGATGATGGCATTGTCGAACTAATTTTTCTCGAAATATCAATAATAATTGATCGAGCAAAATAGAGCGTCTCTATATCAGCACGTTTGAAAGCGTTGCGAAGTATTCGTTGAATTATGGTTGAGTTAGTTGCATTGTACCATAGTTCTGGCGTTTCAGTTCTATAATTTATTTTGAAATAATCTATTTCCAAAAGTGCTACAGTATTTGTCGAATACCATAGCTGAGCTGCCGTCACAAATTCTTCAAGACTACCCGTAGGCATATTTGTCAAAGCTTCAACAAGAAGTAAATGCCACATAATATGGGCCGATGAAACAGGCATATCTTCAACAGAGAAGATCTGATTTGGTTCACAGAAGAGCATTTCGGTGTTAAATATCGTCTTCCATTCAACATCGGTCGCTAATGACGTGATACAAGATTGAATATTCGATGAGAAAAATGAAACGAATGGAATTTCTTGCTTTGAGTTATAAACAAATATAGTAGACGAAAATTGTACAGCATCAAGAATTTGATTGAGTATAAAAGGAAGAGCAACAGCATCAATCAGAATAGCAAGACAGTTTGAACGATGGCTTAGAATGAAATCGAGAGCAGAGGAAACACTTTGTGAGATATCAAAGCAACATATATTATATCTAATCGAATCCAGATGTGATTTAATCTTCACTAGATTGTTGTCTTCGATCGTTTTGTTATCGTAAATCCATACAATTATGGTATCTTCTCTGTTACGTTTAGCTATACGTATCTGATTTTCACGTCTCCGCTTTTCTCTATGTTTGTAAATGACTTCATCTGGTTTTAAAGGATCAAAATCTTGCAAAATAACGGGTACTAAAATCTTATCAATGGTTTTACTTGTCTGTTTCCAATTGCCTAAAGACCAATCATACATGTCCAGATATTGTTTGACAAGAGCATCCGATGCAAATGCCTAAAATTTGTTCGTGAAACATCTCTCTATGAATTTTTTTTGAAGAAAATAATTAAGCCAGCCTCGATTACCAAAGATGCTATGAAATTACGAGCTTACTAATATTACATATCCATTGATTTTCCTAATGTCTTAATGCTTCGAAACGACAACAAATATGCGCAAGAACCACACTAACATTATGATCAGGGATCGACTGGTCTACCAATAGATCCGTTATAATTACGACTTTGCTGTTTCTCATATAAAAGTATACAAAACTTCCGCTATTGATAAGAGCATTTCTGACAAAATGCATAGATAGCTCCTGGTCGAAATGTTCTACATCGAGTGTTATTATTTAGAAATAAAAGCTGTTCTAGAAAAAAATTCGAGTTAGCTGGTAGCTAGTAGGCCGTTCCCCGTCGTCAAAAATCCAGACCGGCTTCATCTCGGATGATAACTTTGAATTACAAAGGAATAAAAATACGCAAATAAGAAAACAGCAGATTTCCGTTAGATTTTAATGGCATGTAAGTCACTATTATACTGAAAGAATAAGCTGAGTTAGCGATTACATTACCTGTTTTAAAAGTGAATTAGAATTATTGTCGTTATGTTCTACTGGTATTGCCGCTGCCGAGTAAAACAAGTCGAGCGCTTTTTGACGACTATTAAAAGTGAATAAATCATAACGTGTAGCACATTGCCGAAGTATATTTAAAGGTTCCAAATATCCCAGTTCTTCTTTAACTTCTTCATTATAAGTTAACAATAAAGCTGTAAATTGTAATGAAAAGTATCTTCAAAAAAAAGTTTCGTTTTTAACACTTACATTCTAAAAGATCAAGTATTTGACAAGCTTCAGTTGTTTTTCTTTGGATTCTCACCGAAGAAAGAGAGTTAACCAAAACGAAGACCACTTCTCTAATATTATGTGCATCATATAAGTTGAAAATTAAAAGTAAACGGCAAGCATTTAACCTAATATCGTTATCATCGTTTACTTCTACTGTTTCATCATCGATCAGTTCATTAAAAAACGGTATAAGGCTCTTGAGAATAATCTGTTGAGAAACAGAGCTATTTATTGAGAAAGCATACAAATGTTTGATCATAATGCTGATTAAAAAATAATTTTCTGATTGTTGTGATGAGAGAAGTATATGGGCAAATACTTCAAACAGTGACAAGTATATATTCAGTTCTTCTTCGTCAAGAACCTCATCAGCTTGACGAGTAGAGAAAATAGTTGCTATATAATCAACAATAGTTACAGTTTCAATAGTCATTTTACCGACAAGTGACCGATTTTCTTCTTGAATCCATTCGATAAAATGTTGGAATTGTGATCGACGAACAGCTATATGCAAATAACGTCGACGTTGGCCTTTACAGTTAATTAAATAATCAAGACAAATTCTAATAAAAAGTCGTTGATCTGCTGTTACATTCGGTGTTAGCATCTCTTTTTTCAAATCAACAGAGCGAACATATTCAGTAATAGCATCTGTTAACTGCTCAAGCATTGGATCGCTGTTAATATTCATTTTCAGTGCCAATCGAGAAAAAGCAGATATCAGAGATTGAATAATTATTAATAACAAAGAATCTTGTTGACCACTGATAATCGCATTTAAACAATCGATGAATTCGTCGACGAACGATTTGTTAAAGAACAGTAGTTTCATCAGATGAATATTCGTGTCTGTAATACCAATTGATAATCGACCAAAAAGTGCACTTACCTCAGATAAACATAACTTTTGTTGTTGATCAAATTCGTTTGAAGAATGATTTTGTAGTCGCCATTTTTTGAGGAAAAGACGATAACAGACTCGAAGTTTAGCAAAGAGGCCATGACTAAGAATACTCGGTAGATACAGAAGTGATCCATGATAAGCATTCAAATATTTAACTATTTTTAATAATATTTCACTTGAATCTTCGTCAGTATTGGTAGGTATTTGAAATGAATTTAAAATATTCAAAAGTTGATTAATCGAATCTGGTAGCTCGCTGTTTTGTTCTGCCATTCTTTTTCATTACAGGCCAGTATAACGTGTATTTTTGTCTTTTATGCGTCTATGCAACTACCGCGTGCTCGACATACAAAAAACACAGAATACACAACTTACTTTTTTTCTTTTCCTGTGCATACAGGTAAACTTTTTCTAATCAGTTTTGTCGCTGAGAACAATACAACGTCAATAAAATTCTATATACTTGATTTGCTCTTCTTTCACTTTAAAAGTAATATGCCAGACATGGCGTTGAAAGCAGCAGAATGTACATATTAGAATATTTTCCAATCTACTTAAGGATGTAGGTATTATCTCTTTATCTATTTTTATTGTTCAAAAAATGAAACGAATATTGACATTTTCATTCGACCCGAATTGACTTAATTCGGTTTCACTCAATATTTAAAATCTATATTCGGTACGATTCGATTCGTGTGGGACAACTCGAATCGAATCGAATTGACGAATAATTCGATTTGATTTCGGTCTCTGTTGTATATGGTAGTATGCTCCTTATGCTTTACATTCTTGTGTGTTTTTTCTTTCCATCTCATTTCTCTTTTCTTCCTCTCATATTTCTCGATGTCTCCGCCTTTCTTCTCTTCATATACGTCGCATTCTGAGTAGGAGAAAACTTCAACTCGACGTATTGGAGGAAGTATATATTGTGTTGTTTTTGTTTGGTGTGATGAAATTCTTCTTTTTGTGTGCGTGTATGTGTTTGTTGCATTATTTTATGTTTTTCCCCCTCGGAGTTGGAGTTGATTATTACACAGATGACATTTTCCTTCTCTACGCCTCGTTGTAAAACAATAGAACGAGCGACTTCCAATTACTTTGTGAGTGTCTATGGAAATGTGAGTTCCTTTTTTCTACTTTGGTTTTACTATTTACTAGCCAATCACCACTTCATATCATACTAAAATTCAACGGGAGAAAAAGACATGTATGAGTGAGCAATATTAGAGGAAGGATGAAAAAGAAATATACGATGAAGTTGTGATGCAAAGCTGTAGTACATCGCTGATACGAACAAACCATAAATTTCAGTACTTAAAGTAACCTCCAATAAATAAATGTGACAGATATGTATCGTCTTTTGACCAGAATGATTACGTTCTGGCATAATTACTCGTGCTTTCTTTCACAGGAAAAAAGGTGAATACATTATCGCGATAAATAACCGTAGACGTTTCTTTGAATATGAATTTTTTCCCAGTGGCTCTGTGACTAAGCTGACGTGGCAGAAAATGACTCAACATCAGTTTCGAGAAACGGCACGTCGATGTTTGTTTTCTTACAATAAAGAAAAAAAGAACAATGCTCTGACGATAAAAATAATAGTGGTTGATGATGAAAAAGTTGATGAGTCTGACACAAGTAGTCTTGATAATGGGATGTTTTTTTAGATTACAGCGACGAATCAATGGACAACAGTGATCTGGTTTCTTTTCAATTCAAGAATTTACAGTTGAACTCAGCAGCTGTTTATACAATATGTACCAATCTGAATGCAAAGCTGAGATCTCAAAGTAATCAATCAAGTGCTCTATACGAGCCATCGGACATCCACCAACCGATATGTTGCAATCGTGAAGTAGCTTATTTTATACGATTTCACTTGCGTGACATTCTCACGAGAGATTACCGCAGCGTTTGGCTCAATATTCGGACAAAACCACTTGATCATGTCGAAGATCGCGCTCAAATATATAGAGAAGGCAGCGAACACAGTTACGCTGTTTCTTGTAGTTTTGGGTCCATGCTCACTTACGACACATTTATTAAGCACCGGAACGGTTCATTTTCTGCGAATATTTCTGTACAGAAAAATAAAATCGTGCTGCAAACAAAAACACAATGCTTGACGCTCAAATTCGAGAATGTGCACTTGCAAATTTTAATCAACCATTCTACAAGCGATGCTTCGGTTCACGTCGTTTTTATGCTCAAATCACCACCAAACTTTGAGCAACTACAAGGTAACCCGTAAGTACAAGAATAAATAAGGATCGGCCTATTCACTTAAATTTCAAACTAGATGAGTCATGTGAGACTTAGAACATGACATTTTGGTGTTTTTCACGGTTAATTCTCTAACGAAAAGTGAAGTAATTTCAATGTAAATCTCACACTCGATCTTGACTGTTCCAAATAAATTTCATATTCAAGAACGAAATATGAGGAGAATATGCCGACCTTTTCTTTAACTTTGCAAAAAACTGCATCATCATTTGACATTTATATTTAGTGATTATCAATTTTTGAATGAGCTTTCACTCTGCTCCGACATGCTTGTACGGTTTTCTCCTGCCAGCAAGGCATGGCGTTTCCTGCGGAATCTGCCGATTGCTGGTTACAGCCGGAGAACTGAGGCGTTCGACGTAAACTTTGCTCTATTCGAAGCACAACAATATTCTAGTATTAAATTTTCCACTATTAAGCCTCGATATTCGTCAAATTTTAGTTCGTACGGCATAGAAATGCTCTGGTCACTGGGGTACGTGTTTCGTGACAAGTACACCGATGATCTTCGGCATCAGTTCGATGTCTCGGATAAACAGAGCACTCTGTACGATATATGCTGTAAGATCTGGCACAATCTCAAATCTGACCATTGTTATCCGATTCAAAATGCATGTGTTGAATACGCTGTAAAAACATCCCAACCGGTCTCTCGTATAAAGTCCCAAGCTTACGAAGTGGCATCTGCAGTCATTACACCTCATCATATTGAATGGCAACCAATGCATGGAACGCCTGGCCATCGAGGATTTTACTTGTATCCTGCTCACGACTGGTTGCTGATTCGCATGCGTGATGAGAGTAGAGTGGGCAAGATCACTACTTTAGATTCGCAGACACGAGCCCGTTTCAAAAAGGCAATGTTACACGGTATCCAATGCGGCGATCGCCTGTTCCGATATTTCGGCGCATCGAACAGTCAGATGAAGGATCAGGCCGGGTGGTTTCTTTCACTTCCCCGTGGTCAGTCAAGCATCGAACGAGCACATGCACAAGTTGGTAAGGTGTCAAAAATTCGCAATGTCGCTACGTACATCGCTCGAGTTGGCCTCTGTTTGACATCATCAAGTTCAACTGAGGTAAAGTAAAGTTCCACGCGATATAGAGACTTCCACCTAATTTTCTCTAGACGATAATGAAAAGAAAAGACGCAATTCCCTTTTGAGCCCCGCACCCAACCAGAAATCTATTTTCTACACAGAAAAGCTGACATTGCTAAAATTTTCAAGGAATGTCGTACTTGTCCCAGATAGCCGACAGTAAGCGTGGGGGTGTGGCTTTGCCTGTGTGTGTGACTGTGGATGTAGAAAGAATTGAGTACCCACTCACTCCTACACCTATCCACACGCACGCCTTCGATTCTTTTTATTTGCTTTTTAAAAGCTCTTCACTCGTTGAAATCGATATCAACGTTTGACTTAGATAGAACAAATTGAGAGTTACTCTGAGTTTAATGAACACGCACGTATTTATCTGTTCAGATCAAGTTAACTTATATCGGCGAAACCTTCGACATCGATCCAATATCGTTTTCTGAAAACAAATTTGCCTGGGTATTCAACAAGTTACGCAATATAGCGAAAGCAACCGGACGGCAGGTAGGCTATTGAAAAATGGATTCTTCCGTATATTCGCTCGTTGTGCTTTAGATGAGTAGAACTCCAAATATAGATGGGAAATTCCAGGCAACCAATATTCCGGATGTTGAACGTAATGGATTCTGCTTCACCGACGGTTGTGGCAAGATTTCGCTTGGTCTCGCGAAAGAAGTTGCACGAAGTCTGAACATTCAAATAAAAACTGAAGTCAGTTCATTTCTAGCGCGTCAGATAAAAGAATAGAATGATATTTCATGCCTTCAGGTCGATGTGCCCTCAGTCTTTCAAGTTCGAATTGCCGGATGCAAAGGTGTGTTGTCGATTGATCCTGAGTCGACATCTAACGATTTTTACATCAAAGTTCGCAAGAGTATGGTAAAGTTTGATGGTGAGGATTGGATGCTCCACATTGTCGATTATTCTCGTCCTAGTGAGTGTTTACACACGCGAACTTGCACCAGAATATTATTTCTTGTTACATTTAGTGCGTTTGAATCTGAACAACCAAGTGATTCGACTACTATACGATTTAGGAAATAGTACGGGCAAATTCGAGTCATTTCAAACGCGGTACATCGAGCGATACTTCAAACGTTATTTGAACGTTTGCGATTCAGGCAATCGACCACTGGTGAATGAGAAACAGCAATACTATAAAAATTCGTGAGAACATTTGGTAGGAATATTTATCATCATTTACATCTATGAGGATTATAGGATTGATAATCTTCTTCACAACAGAATTCCGCTACCAGTCAACGACGCTCGATGTCTGTACGGTATTGCCGATGAATCCGGACTGCTGCAGCCGGGACAATGTTTCATCCAATACCGTGATCTGGAAAAATCGTCACAGTTAAAACAGTATAAAGTCGTAACAGGTATGTTATACCCAAACCGCTTTTCTTACTGTTAACATGTGATACCGAGCCTACTGGTCAGTTGTCTTACTTACCCAGTAGCTTTGTTCGCTTCAAGTTCATATACGGTCACTGAATCTTCGCCAAAAAAACCGAGATCAGATTGGTAGCATAGAATACAATTGATTTGATCTGAAAACAGTTAGAACTTTTCATTTATGTTCGCCTCTTTTTAGATTCACGGAAGATATTTTATATTCTGTTTTTTTACAGTTAAGTGATTCGGACTGACTTAGTCACTACCGATACAAGTATAACTTTCCTAAGCAAACCTAGAAAAGTCTCGGAACAGTACGACGAGGACTTAAAAATATTTTCATGTGTGATTGGCTCGTGCTGCCCACATTAGGAACCCGAAGGCCTACGACTTGTTGCCACAGTCGGTGTAAACTTAGATAACAGAAAATTCAGTCAAATACATCGAAAATACTGAAAATTTCAGTAGACTTATTTCACGTTCAACTTTCAA